CTATCATCACATCATCTCCCGCTCAGAAACCTTCATGTGGCTGCTGGTTACTGAATGGACAAGATCCCTCCTGCATAACCTGGGATCCAAAGCACTCTACAGTTTGATGTAAATCAATCCTTTATAAACATCCATATTCCTACCTCCCCACTTTGCTTGAGGTGGGATCCATGATTCCTGGACTCACACCTTGGTGGCAACTTACTTTCATCGTGGGTAAGTTCTTTAACCTGAGCTTTAAAACACTGCAGGGGAAGGATCTAGCTTTGACCTTGACACAGTAGGTATCAATAAATATTGGCCTGGTGTCTCAAAAATGTAGAAGAGAGTGTTTGGGACAGGACAAGAACATAACAAAGAAAGAAGAAAAAAGTATAATTGGTCAAGCTTTTTTATGTAGCAATCTGATAATATGTATCAAAATATAACATTTGGCCCAGAAATCCAATTTTGCTCTATCTACCTTAAAAGGTTATTGAGTAAGTACAGAAATAGGTAATTATAGGGACTTCATCACAGTATTATTTGTAACAACAAAAATATTGAGAAACAATCTAAATGCCAATGAGGGGGCTGGCTAGGTGGCTGAGTCAGTTAAGCATCAGACTCTTGATAAATAAATAAATAAATACATACATACATACATACATACATACATACATACATACATAAAATGCCAATTAGGAATGAACCAAAAAAATTATGTAAACAGACACTATTGTTAGGTAATGAAAACTTTTTTCCCCAAAACTGTTTAGTATTTTTAACAAGATGTATGTATCCCATTTTCTAGGATCAGAGCATTTAAAAATAATTTTTAAAAAAGACACAAATGAAAGAAGTCCTGAAGAATGTTTTCCTTGGATTGTCGGAGCCAATTATCAGTTTATGGATCATTGATAAAGGTTCAGATCAGAGTAGCCAATAGTCTGGATATTTGAGAAAATAGAGGCTAAAACGAGACGGATGAAAGACTTGTTTTCTACATAAAATCAGACAATTCTGTCCTTTTACTACTCCCATGAACAAAAAAACAAAAAACAAAAACTCCTCTATTCTCTGGCCACAGCTTTTATACTTAATCCCAAACATCTATGTTTATGTGAAGCTCTTGCCTTGGGGAAGGCTGAGGAAAACAAACTACGGGGTAGTTCCAGGCAAACCCACCCCAGATGCTAATAAGATGTGGCATTCACACTCATTCAGTGTGGGGCTGGAGGATTTTAGAATTATCACTCAAGGACCAAAATTATGAGGAACAGTAATGATTTGCACAAGTGATGGGGCTGCGGAACGGATTTGAGATTTGGGAGTTCTAGTTATTTGAACTTGAGAGTCTTACTATTTCCATTAAAATGACAAGTGAACAAAAACTTCAAATCATACAGAATAACAAAAAACAGTAAATTATCCTCTGAAATCAGAGCTCACAGCAATAATCACTATTAACACCTGGTGCGTGTTATATTTTGCTTTTGTTTTTAAACCTATCTCAAAGAAATTACTTCTCACCCATTATATTGACAAAAAAATTTTAAAGGTATGTTAACTTTTGGCTATAGGGAAATGACCTCTCACCATAAACTTCACCCTTTTAAAGTGTATAACTCATTGTCTTTGGTTTATTCTAAGTCATGCAACCCATCAACCATCAACACTAGTTCTGGAATATTCTCATCACCCCAAAAAGAAATTCCATACCCATTAGCAGTCACTGCCCACTCTTTTCCTCCTTGCCCATGGCAACCATTAATCTATTTTCCATCCTGTGGATTTACCAATTCTGCAAATTTCAAATAAAATGACTCCTACAATATGTAGCCTTTTGTAACTGGCTTCTTCCACTTAGCATAATGTTTTCAAGCTTCACCCAAGTTATAGCATGGGTCAGAATTTCTTTCATTTTTATGGCTGAATAATATTCCATGTATAAGTATACCACAATTGGTTATATATTCATCAAGTGATAGACATTTGGTTTCCACATTCTGCCTATTATGAATAATGGTGCTATAAACACTCCTGTACAAGTTTTTGTGTTTTCACAAAACACGTATGTTTTCAATATTGTACAGAATTGCTGGGTCAAGTGGTAACTCTGTTTCTTTTCTGAGGCACTGAAAAACTGGTTTCCATAACAGCTGTACCACTCACATCCCTATCAGTGCTGTGTAGGGTTCCGCTTTCTCCCCACCTTTTCCAACACTTGTTGCCATGTGTCTTCTTTATTATAGCCATCCTAGCCATCAAGCCACACTTGAAGTGGTATCTCATTGTGATTGTGATTTGCACTTCTGGATGAATAACGATGTTGAGCATCTTTTGATGCACCTGTTGACCATCAACCTACGTTTCTGGAGGAGTATCTACTCAAACTTTTTGCCCATGTTTTAGTTAGACTTTTTTAAGATTCAAGTATAATTAACATACAGTGTTAGATTAGTTTCAGGTGTACAATATGATTCAACAATTCTATATGTTACTCAGTGCTCATCACAATAAGTATACACTCTCATGTATTATGGATATATATATTATCGGATATATGGTTTACAAGTATCTTCTCCCATTCTCTGGAGTGTCTTTTGACCTTCTTGACAGTCCTTTGAAGCACAAAAGTTTTTAATTTTGATATCAATTTCACCTATTTTGCTTTTGTTGCTTGGACTGTGGGGTCACATCTAAGAAATCACTACCGGGGCGCCTGGGTGGCTCAGTCGGTTAAGCGTCCGACTTCGGCTCAGGTCACAATCTCGCAGTATGTGAGTTCCAGCCCCGCGTCGGGCTCTGTGCTGACTGCTCAGAGCCTGGAGCCTGTTTCAGATTCTGTGTCTTCCTCTCTCTCTGACCCTCCCCCATTCATGCTCTGTCTCTCTCTGTCTCAAAAATAAATAAAAGTTAAAAAAAAATTAAAAAAAAAAATAAGAAATCACTACCTAATCCAAGATCATAAACAGTTTTGCCTATGTTTTCTCCTAAAAGTTTTATAGTCTTAACTCTCATTTAGGTCTTTGATCCATTTTGAATTAACTTTGTATTTTTTGTGAGACAGAAATCCAACTTAATGCTTTCGTTTGTGGATATCCAGTTGTGACAGCACCAATTTTTGAGGAGAATATTCTTTCCTCATGGAATAGTCTTGGCATATAGCTTTTTAAAATCCTCCTTAAAGGTTCTATAGCTTGATGGTGGTCCTGGTTCCACAACTGTGTCAAAACTCTTTGAAATGTACATTTAGAACAATAAAATTATTGTATGTAAATAACACTCAATAAACCTAACAACTTTCACATATAGGACAAATAAGGGATCACATGCTTCACAAATACTATACTATCTGTAAGAAAGACAAACTGGAAACCATCTGAACCTCTATCAAAAAAAATATTTAAACAGATGTAGAACAATCACAGGATTGAATACCATGCAACAGTACAAAGGAATAAGCTAGGTTTTATATATATTAAATGGATCAAGTTCTGTTAAGCAAAAAAGATTAGTGTACAATGGCTGACACGGAATGAAAGCAACTATGTAAAAAAAGACATACAAAACCAGGCTATACAGGCTCTGTGAATATACATGTAGTACCTAATGGTATCTCTTAAAAGTCTGGAAGAATACTTAGCAAACTGATAACACTCGCTGCCTTTGGAGAGAACAAACAGGCCCCAAGACTGAACAGGGTGATCAGAAAGGAGTTGACAAAAATGAAGTATTGGGACCTCATCAAAATAAAAAGCTTCTGCACAGCGAAGGAAACAATCAGCAAAACTAAAAGGCAATTGACAGAATGGGAGAAGATATTTGCAAATAACATATCAGATAAAGGGTTAGTATCCAAAATCTATAAAGAATTTATCAAACTCAACACCCAAAAAACAAATCATCTAGTGAAGAAATGGGCAAAAGACATGAATAGGCACTTCTCCAAAGAAGACATCCAGATGGCCAAATGACATGTGAAAAAGTGCTCAACATCACACATCATCTGGGAAATACAAATCAAAACCACAATGAGGTACCACCTGACACCTGTCAGAATGGCTAACATTAACAACTCAGGCAACAACAGATGTTGGCAAGGATGCGGAGAAAGAGAATCTCTTTTGCACTGCTGGTGGGAATGCAAGCTGGTGCAACCACTCTAGAAAACAGTATGGAGGTTCCTCAAAAAGTTAAAAATAAAACTACCCCATGACCCAGCAACTGCACTACTAGGCATTTATCCAAGGGATACAGTGTACTGTTTTGAAGGGACACATGCACCCCCATGTTTTTAACAACACTATCAACAACAGCCAAAGTATGGAAAGAGCCCAAATGTCCATCGATGGATGAATGGTTAAAGATGTGGTATATATATACAATGGAGTATTACTCAGCAATCAAAAAGAATGAAATCTTGCCATTTGCAACTATGTGGATGGAACTAGAGGGTATTATGCTAAGCAAAATTAGTCAGAGAAAGACAAATATCATATGGCTTTACTCCTATGAGGACTTTAAGATACAAAACAGATGAACATAAGGGAAGGGAAGCAAAAATAAAAACACAGATGGGGACAAAACATAAGAGACTTTTAAATATAGAGAACAAACAGAGGGTTACTGGAGGGGTTGTGGGAGGGGGGATGGGCTAATGGGTAAAGGGCCTAAGGAATATTCTCCTGAAATCATTGTTGCACCATGTGCTAACTAATTGGAAGTAAATTATAAAAAATAAATTATAGAGGGAAAAAAAAAGGCAAGGAGTTGAACGCTATTTTCCCCCATAGAGAAATCTACTTATTAACTACTTGTGTGATTACAGATTAATAATGTGTAACTTATGTAGTTGTAAACAGAGGATGTAAGTATGCAATCAAAACTTTTTAATGTATGAGCTCATATGTGCATCCCTGCACCCAATACACACACACACACGCGTGCACGCGCGCGCACACACACACACACACACACACACACACACACACACACACACACACAGGGGGTCTTACCAGTTTGGATTTTCCACACTTTCCCGGAAGACAGACTCTTCCTTCATGGATGCATACTGTGTCCATGTAAGGCAGTGACTCCGTATAGCCATGTTTCTTTCCTGAGGATTGAGCCACGATTCCTCTTCCAACTGGATACTAGGTACCTTTAAAATGCTCACCTGTCCAACAGAGAGTGGGTGGCTTTCTCAAATGAGGAAGGCTACAGAAGGATGGAGTCCAGAGTTGCTTTTAGTCTTGGATAATTAAGAGGACAAGTGATCCTGATATACAAATGATGGCTCACCAATGGCTGTGACTTCTTGATAATCAAACATACCATGACCTTACTAAATGCTGGTGAGGACATGCAAATGACCCAGGATTTATGCGAGCTGTATAGTCTCTGGCCTGATTTCCCTAACTGCTAAACACTAAGCAAATTATCAGCCTCCTTCGTGTCTCCTCCAGGGCTGGTTATGGCCTTCTTAAATTGATGGACACTAATTGGGCCCACTTATGGGCTCACATGCAAGACAATATCAGATAAAATATTTTCTTCATTTTAAACTCTGTCCAATACCTTGAAATGTATGTTTTCTGAGGTGGAGGAGACATGGGAAACTACAAAGACAGCACTGTACAAGTCAGAGGTGTCCTTAAATTATTTAAGAATTGAGATACAAGACAAAGTTGAATGTCTTTTTAAATAATAGATTCAAAGGGTGTATATAGGGCAAAGGCAGGGTATACACCCTGTAGAAAAAGCCAGTCATAATTTGTTGTATTCACTGCAACACATTTTAGCATCTGGAAAATAAAGTTCTTTTTCACTGTCATACCAGCCTTCTTTCCTCCAAAGAATATGACAGAATCTTAATCCAGGATAAGGAAGTGATAGAAGCCATCACTCTTTCTAATACAGCAAACAAGCACAGCAATATCACCTGCAAGCTAACTGGCTTCTACATCACCAAAGCAATCACTTCTGGGTAGAAATAATGATCTGAGACATTTTAAGAAGTGCACATCAAGATGTTCTCCTCTTGGGGCGCCTGAGTGGCTTGGTCGGTTAAGTGTCCGACTTCGGCTCAGGTCATGATCTCACGGTCCGTGAGTTCGAGCCCCACGTCGGGCTCTGTGCTGACAGCTCAGAGCCTGGAGCCTGTTTCAGATTCTGTGTCTCCCTCTCTCTCTGCCCCTCCCCTGTTCATGCTCTGTCTCTCTCTGTGTCAAAAATAAATAAACATCAAAA